GGGGGGAGGGGGGGTCATTCAATTAGTCTGTTTGATTTCAGCGAGAGTCCCCACGGAGTTGGATCGATCTACGTAAACCGATAGTTTCACTGGGAATGAGTCCTAAGGGTCTATTCCCACAACTTTAGATCGATCTATCACCGCGGGGAGTCTCACCAGACTAGCGTCAGATAATCCCCTTTAAGTGTCCGTCCCCGCCCACTACAAGCCGTAAGGGGCAATTAACTTTCGTGTCCGCCCGGCTGACAGCTATTCAGCGCGAACCCCCAGGGAGTTAGGTCGATCCAAAGTAGGTCGATCTAATCTATGGAAATGGGGTGTAAGACGGCCATAGTAAGCTTAAAACAGTCTGTCGGACAGACGTTAATCGTGGATAATGGTTCTTCTTATCTTCGACAATATACATTTTTATTTGTGTATTAAAACTCTTAATGTCTACCATTAACCTTTTCTGTCTGCTATTATCCTCTTGTAACCTTTTTATCCGCGTGACGAAAATATTCTAAATGCTATGTACAGCGTCTCCTCGTTTTGGTGTATTTAATGCCTTTTAGCTTTTAAAAATAAGTCTACATCTGGATGCGACTTAGTTATGAATTTTTAAACTCGACACTTTTAGAGCCTGCAGTCAATATCTTTAACATGTTGCCGATTGTCTGATGTACCCCGTATATAACACTAATGTCTGTTTTTTCTTTTCTGGGGTAACTTTTGTAGGAAGCTGACGAACTTCAACCAACCGGATTGTCGACAAAATGCTGCCATTTCGAATTCATCTGTCTGGGGGGCCCCTGGCTGCAAAGAGATTTTTCAAGCGACACCACATCGGACGTCTCCTAATACAGTACCGCTGGGCATGTTTCGTGTTTTCCTGCATATTACTGACGTCATTTTATATACGAATGACGTCAGACTTCTCACAAATTGAACGCATGCGCGCAGGACGGATTGGGAGGCAATCACGAGAGCTGAAAGTTTTGAATAGAAAAGGAGTTTACGAGAAAGGCTCCCGCAGTCGAGGAGTAGCAAAAAACCCAAGGATTTTCGCAGGGGATAAGTTCATATTGAAATATACTTCTCAAGGTGCGTTGTTTAATGAGTCAGGAATTATCGGAAGATTGGCGTCAAATTTAACGACGTCATTGGTGCATTCTTTCTCCCCATACACGGAGAAGAAGGTGGCTAAAATATTCCCCGATCCACCGAAACAGAACGTCTACTACGCCAACAGCCCTGCAATCGCATGGCACAAAGGAGAGTTGATTGTCATTATGCGAATTTGGCTGGAAGAGGAGAGGTATGAAAAACGTTCAGCGCCAAACAATTATTTTTTGGATAACTATTTTTACACGCAAAAATTTGATGCACACATGCGCCCTCTGACGTCGGGAAAGATCATGGGAATTCCCACGCGGAAACTCAACGTCGGTTCTCTGGGTGACGGGCCCATTGAGCCGCGGCTCTTCAAGGTCAAGACCAAAAGCAAAGATGGTGGCGACTCGCAAACTTTAAATAAAGAAAACTACAAGTTGTTCTTTTCATTTAACACTGGGATAATTCTGAAAGGAGGGTACTGGATTGATTACACGCTGTTTTACGATTACGACGACGACGAGCTCATTATTCCACAGATCTCAAATGGTGGGATAAAACCACAGTTGACCGGTTCTCCGCGAGACAAACATTGGTCAGCATTTAATTACAATGACCAGCTTCACTTTGTCCACAGTTTAGACCCACTCCGAGTTATGAGGTGCAATATAACTGGACATTGTGCTTTCATTTACTCTGACGATGATCCCAAAAATATTAAGTTTGACGACAAAGCCACACATTTGCGAGGTGGCACACCCGTTGAACACTTTAGTGGAAAATATTATATAACCATAGGTCATGGGACTTTTTTTAAGTATCCAAACTGGAAGCGTTTCTACACCTCGCATATCGTGGTCATACACGCGGATCCATTCCGAGTTGTATACGTCAGTGATGACGTAAGGATCCATAAAGACTTGTTGTACGGAGTTCCTATTGTGAGGGAGCAGTACATTGAAACCCCATTTATTTTCCCCGTTGGTCTTATTCTTGAGGATGATGACACTGCGTACATTGGTGTTCACATTTCGGATCACAGCAGTGTATTACTCCGCCTCCGTGGTCTGCGCATGCTCATGTCAAAGGTCATATCTATGGATAAGGCGTCTGGCTCAACGAAAGGACCAGTGCCAAAAACTTTACAAACGTTTGTGAGAGAAACTACGTCGAAGCAATATCACTTAAGATTTATTCATTGAAAAAAACTCTAACAAGTATTATTATATATATCGAACTGACTTATTTCCCATTTTATTTATTACCCGTTTCGAAATAAATTGCGTAAGGCGTCTTCCGTCGTGTGTTGAAAGGTCCTTTTCACATTCAGCGATACGTCTTACTGGACCGGTCCACTTTGAGAGACAGACAGTTGATTAATCTATTAAACCATTACGCAAGACAGTCACCTAAGTCACGACGCTTGGAACGGCCAATTAATTAACTGGATAACAACTGTTCATTTTGGCCAAAAATGGATTTTCCTGGGGTAAACACAATTTTACCATACTAAACAATGGGCAATGAATGATTGCGTTGTAGCTTCAAAAGTTGGTTCATGTTTTTTTTCTAAAAAGGTTGTTTTTTTCTGTAATAATCTCTTTAGAGATTTGGAGGTCACGTGATTTGGAGGTCAAGCTAGATTCCAGAATTATTGCAATAACCGCTGTTTTTGGTGGTAAAACAGTATTATTTATACATCTATGTGTTGTTTACAATGCATTTATTGCGAAATATGAATCTTATACTAAGAGTTGTTAGCCCTTTAACTTTACCGCAGGAAGCAAAGTTATGGACAACTGTAGCATAATGTCATGTTAGGGCCTCTCAGGACCGCTCGATGTGAAATGGGCTTCGGTGACCGTGTTTTTGACATAACGCCGCTGTAATAACACAAACAGATCCATAATGAGATATGTTTAATATGAGCAAGTTACATATGAGATTATATGAAAAAATTAAAGTCAACAACGAGATCACATCAATTTTTTTTATGTAATAAAAATTAAAAAAATGTTTGATTTAAAATGCTTATTACTTAATCTCAGTAATAAGCATTGAGAGAGGACTAGGACCAACCCACCAGACAGACAAGGTCTTTCTTATGAGATCACGATGAAACACAGGGAACAGAATCTCTCTTATTCTCTTAATTTAACAGTGAAAGTTTTTCGACGACCCTTCTAGTTAGTACAGTCGCCAACTCTAACTGCAGCACTTGAGCAAAATGACCAAATTTAAAGTTTTACACTCGTTGTTCAATTGTTCACAACTTTTGGACTTTGCTCAGCCTTTAAGTAGAGGCATTCTCAATGAAAAAATCATTCCCTCCATTCTGGCGTCTAGTTAAGCGTGCATGCTGCATTGCAAGGACATTAAGTCTGCAGTTCGACCGAAGTCTGAGAGTATTTTGTGAATTCCCTGGATATGGTTAAATATAGCACAGTTTTAACACTGCATCACTACCGTAGTTTTTTTTTCACCTCAGCAGATGGACTGCAGGCAAAACAAACAAACAAACAAACAAACAAACAAACAAACAAACAAATAAACAAACAAAAATATAAAAAACAAATTCTGCAAGTATATGTACATTTGGCGGAGCACCTCATACTTTCATGCTATTAACATTCCTCACACGGTTGTTCACTTAATGCAACATATGTATTTTTCGTTTTCGTCCTTGTTTTGTGCTTATTTTGGCTGTGGACTACTCCATTCGCCACGCCCTCGGATATAGCTTGAATCGGTTGCAGCTGTGAATTTGGTCTGTCTTGACCATCGTTTTCAACGCCCTCTTCAGGACCGAGTTCCGTCTCGTCCAAAGACGTAAAATTGAAAGCGTTTCCATTTCGTTTATTAGCAGCCATGTCTCTTTGATATTTCATATACCTTTTCACTTTCCTACCCCACACACAGAGGAAGGCGATAAAAGCTATTGTCAGCGTGAGCACCACTACCACGGATATCACGAGGGGATGATGACCCGTTAGAGCACCGTAAGGACCGTGGTGATGCTGGATCAACCACGTGCTGTCAAGGAGATCACGTGACGCGACATCTCTTTCCTCGTACAACAGATGCGTCTTGTTGTGGATGGATAAAATGCCGAAACTGGGGGCGCCGTCAAGTGGAATTTTCTTGGCACACCATGTTTCTGCATAAAGCAATAGAAAAATTGTTAAGCATAAAAACCGATTAACTAAAACATTTGCAATTCTTAAAAATAAAATCATCTGAAACGATCAATCTATTCTGCAAAATCAAAGTCAAATCTCATTTCTCGTTATATATAAGGCTATAAGTATTTCTTAAAATCATATATTAGTTTCTAAAGGCTAATTGAGGAGAGAGAGAGAGAGAGAGAGAGAGAGAGAGAGAGGGTAGAGATATGGAAAAGAAGATATCAATACCTCGACAAAGTTCTGTCGACGTCGATATATTATCACAAGTCAGCGCCCCAGTATTGATATACACAGTTCCCGCGGGATCCAAATAACTTTCCGTCTTCACTTTCCCTTTATAAACGGGCCAGGTTCGCTGGAAGAGGTTATCCTGAGCCGTGAGAACGAGATCCACACCCTGTGTATGCATCAACTCTTCAAGTCTGCAAACAATATTAGAACACATGTACACGGGTACAGAGGACGAATTGCCGGTGTGACAGGAATGGATATCCCCCAAGAACCCTAGTCCGTTCCCCATTACTTTGTACAGGTGACAATTGTCCCAATTACTAACCCAATACTCCAAGTAACCCTAACCTGTACTAATCATATGGGAGCCCGGCCTTCCATTCCAAAGACTACCATTCTTACTATACCTGTGTTTAACAGAGATATCTAGAGTTTTTTTCTGAGTTGTATGCGGATGAGAAAAATTTAAAAAGGACGCCGTTTTCCTTTAGCACATTGTCAGCAAGTTAGGCAGTCGGGATGGAACTGGAGAGATACAGTCATTTACACATACTAATATTGCCTTGGTTTGCCAAAAAAAAAAAAAAAATGATAACTAGTATGAAATCCATAATTAATGTCTTCCTCATGCCCATGAGCATATACTACCAGTCATAGTTGTGTTCAGAATAAAAAACAATCTAAATTCTAAATAAAAAAATAAGACAATGCAAGAAAATACCGTTAATGCTTGTATATGTGTGCGTGTGTGTGTACGTGCGTGGCGCGTGCCTCTGGAACAGGTTCCACTAAAGTTCCCAATCAAATATGAACTGCACAGGAAATCAATTTTGTCTTCTTTTTGTCATTCACTATTTCTACTACTACCACTTCTACTACTGCTACTGCTGCTTCTACTGCTTCTACTACTACTACCACTACTACTACTTACTCGTCCCTAAGAACAGCGGAGTTGGCGTAACAGGAGGGGGTCCCTGAACAATAAAGCGGCTGGTTTAGCATGACGATGATCCACGGACGGTCACTTCGCTGCTTCTGGTTGTTAGCCGTCTGTAGGTCTTGGATAAGCCAGCTATATTGTTGTTGTGCCAAGTATTGGTTGGATAGAAAGTAAACTTCCGATGAGATACTGAAAAGCGAGATGAAGAGAGACGTATTTCGTGAAACAGTTGTTCTGAAAACGTTTTCTTTTCCTGAGAAATATTGAACCTAATGCTTTCGATCAAAACACCAGACAAACAAACAAACAAACAAACAAATAAATAAATAAATAAATAAATAAATAAATAAATAAATAAATAAATAAATATGGCATAATAAAATATGGTATTTCATGACAAAAGTTCTGTCTAAGATATTGGGAGGAGTTAAGGGTGCGGCTACCTATTCATAATTCTGAGAAAATGAAAAGTATCAGCACGCGCTTGTTACTATGTTAGTGTGCGTGCGAGCAAAGCATGTGTGTTTGTGTGTGTGTGTGTGTGTGTGCAAAAATGAGATTGCTCAGCTACTTGTAATAATAAGAGAAACCTGTAACAAAGAAGACCAGTTTCTGCATGCTATCCTCTGTCTATATAATATCAGTAACAAAAACCACATGTTACAAAGTTGGAGTGACAAAGTGCAGGACTATAAATACGCGTTAAATACATATACCACTTTTTGTTAATCTTATTAAGACAAATAATACTTTTTATCACATTTCAACATATTTACACCATGAGTTAATGTCGCAAAAATAATCTAATTTATGATCTCCTGACGAACCCTGCCCAAGGCAGTGCGAAAATTGAGCTCGTAGGGATGGTGGGATTTGAAAAAAAATGCCTAAGCGATAGCGTGGAATTAGCACATTTGAATTTCTCCAGACTGTTACAGAGTCAGGCCCGTAGCCAGCAATTTCAGAGGGGGGGGGTCGTTTTCTGAAAAAGTGGACCTTTTACCATAAAATCCTCAAGTACATAGATCAAATTTTACCCACAGTGGACCTTTTCCCAGCAAAAAGGGTGGTTCTTTCGAACCCCCCGAACCCCCCCTGGCTACGGGCCTGAGAGTTATGGTTGGTTAGCCATTTACCCCTGGTAGATCAGGAAATTGAGATTTTCTAGCGAAATTCCCACACTGTGCACCAAGAATCCACTGGCCACCTTACCTTATTATGTGCGCCCTGCCTATGTCAAAACTATACCAGAGATCTTGTTGAGGCCAAACCACGCCTGGCATGGAAAATATCTTCCTATAATGGTTAAAGTTGTCGGTGATATCTGAAATGTGAGAAGGGATGGGTTATATATATGAATTATATACATTTAGACAGGTGTTTACGCCTTTAAAACATTTCTAGAATTTTGTAAAAAAATGGCTAAAAGTTTTTACAGTAGTTCACGCTGTTGTTATTTACCCTATACTTTCTTTCAATTTAAATTCCGTTTTCTATATTACAAATAAACACGTTACTTTTTATTAAGATTTTTTTCGCAGTACATATTTGTTCGCTTAAAGCAATATTATTAATTTATCAATCGATTTATTTTTTTTTATTGGTCATTTCTATTTACTTCACTTTAAACAAAACAGCACGCTTGAGCGATTTCCACTTGGCTTACCCGCTTTCCCCGTGGTTGTAAATATAGGAATCCATGCTGCCATATCAGCCATCGTCTTCAAGTAATCTTCATAATTCTAATCAAATAAAACGACATTTTGAAAAAGTTTGATGAAAAACAAAACATGAATACATAATACATGGACTTTTTTAGCCTATATATGCTACCATAGAATTAAAAAAACAATAAAATTTAAATAAACCAGCTCCCTACTATTGAGAACCTGATATATTATTTTATATGAAATACTTCAGGATGTTTTGTGTAATTCGAGAAAAATGCTAAATTTTTAACTATTAGACGCTAGTCACTATACCTTGTGACACATTCACTATATTAACCCTAAGAGGACTAAATGGACGATGAGTTTTACTTAACATGTTTTACTCGTATTGAATAATCGCTGTTTTTCTGTTATTACAATCACATCATATCACTATAATTACAACCACATCTTTTACAGCCTACGGTACCTGATCGCAACCAAACTTGCCGAGGTTAAGGACTCCAGCAAACCTGTGGTCTCTCTGGACCCCCTGAGCCAGCTGATGGTGAGTGTCCAGTGTGGTCTGGTGAGGACTGTGGTAGACCAGGAACTCTGGACGATAGTCCTGGAACACGAGGTGGAGGATTCAGTAGAGAGGAGAATTTTAATATTGACGTGCAGCTTGGAGTGAGACTACAGGTGGGGACATCTGGCGGGTAATCGCACCCTCTCTCTCTCTCTCTCTCTCTCTCTCAGACATGAGGCACAGTGTGCACAGGACGATGATTACAGTTAATCACTTAATAATAGGACATAATAGCCGAAGTATATTTCTAGTCTGCTAGTTTTGAAATATTTGTCACAAAATCCCGAGAGAAACGAAGAGAGCAGGCCATTGAGCAGGTAACCTGGGTAACACAACGTTACTATAGTTACATAGCATCACCATCCCCTAGGTTACATTACGTCCCAAGTGGGGCTATTGTACACAATTAACTTAGCCCGGTAAATTCTCTCTCTCTCTCTCTCTCTCTCTCTCACCAAACTTACCATACTATCTGGCCAGGTTCGGAAGGTATAACTAACGTGTCCCCCTTCCACAGTGTAAGGCTGATACATGTACTCAACGCCAGGTGACAAACCCTGAACAGATAATACACAACCTTAGTTCAACCATCATAATTGGAGTGACGCAAAGACTTCTTGTTCGTGACAACGGGTATTAAGAAGTACAGATCTTTGTAGTACGTATTACTACCTAATTGCTGCTTTAAACATTTGAATGCGATATCAAAAGATTCACGTTAACCCTAGGCTACTTAAAATCTATTTTTCCTGACGTCAAAGAACTTAAATGCATATGTTCTTTAGAATAATATAATTCTAAGAGGATGATGAAACTTATGAAGATAAGTGTGCATCTTTGTTTGATCAAAGTCAGGTCAATGTTTGTCTGATTTCTAGGCAAAAATATCATCAATGATTCAAGTGAAACAATGAGCTTGAAACATGCATATGAAATTCAAAAGGTGATAAATAACAGTTTGTCAACTCAACTTGCTACAAATATGCTACAAATAAATAAATAAATAATTAAATAAATAAATNGCTACAAATAAATAAATAAATAAATAAACTTACCATTGCAAAAGCCCTGTGTATGACGTACTCGCTTAAAGAGTTAGAATGGTTTTCCTTCATTTGAAACGACCAACTTTCCAATATGAACGGCTTCCCGGTGGCCATGTTGTGTCCACGCACCGAACCCTCTCTGGTCAACGCCGTGGTCCACATGATGGTCATCTGTCCAGTCTTATGACCGGGGGTGATGTGGACACCATCACAGGCCCGGCTGGGTGAACCTGGTGGACCGAATTATTGAACTATAATTATGGACCATAATGCGAATTTTTCTGGGGTCAGAAATGACTCAGCTGACTGAGTCGGTTGTTTAATCTGTTTGTGTTATTCCTGTTAATGGATCAAGTTTTATTTATTTTTTGTGAGGGCATACTTTCACTCTTCTATATTACAAAAGAATTATAGGACAAATACGACAAACATAATGTTACTGACAGCCCCGAGGTTTACTTTTTCATAAAAACATTTTAATCTATAAGGTGCATGTATGTTAGTTTAAAAAATTCGATAGTGCCAATGATAAAAAATATTATGGGGCAAAATTACATAAAACAAAAGTAACCTAGAGAAAATGCAAAAGGAATAAAAAATACCTTCTCCTCCAACTACGATGATGAAATACGAAGCAATCACGAAGTACAGCGTTGCGTTCCTGAGGCGGCTCTTCCCGGCTTCCAGGATGACACGCATGTTATGGCTATCACTTCTTGGACGAACGATTGACGGTTCTCTTCAATGTGATGACGATGGTCAACTTATACAAGTCTCGCGTGACTCTCCCAGTAGAACAATTCATCAAGCCCTCTATATTGACAGGGAATATTCCATTAGAGTTTTCAATATAGTCAAATAGATTAATCCATCAAATGTCACTACATAATAAAGTGTGCAAATCCGTCAGATTCCGCCACATAGTCAACAAGAATCTCCCGCTGGGTTCCTTAATATAATCATCCAGAATACTCAAGCGGATTTCTCAGCAGGAGAATGCCGTTCAATCAGATAGCACTTATGATATATATATATATAATCCCCCGCTGATTTCTGACAGTTGCATTGTGCATGGTGTCGGTCAGTGACATTTACATAGACTGAAACAGTTTAACTTGCATTGATGGCTAACCGCAACGAGTTTTCAGGGTACGAAACCTTTCAATTCTCTTTCCAAGTTCAACCGTAGGTGAAAATATGCTCGTTCTGTGGTCCTTGTTGTCACAGAAGGCAGTTGATGTGCACTGCTCTTTTTACGAAATCATTACAAAGCGTCTGCAACGTGGCGCAATCTTGACATATACATGTATTTTAAAAGCTGTAGGAGTAGAGTAACTGCGTGGTACGGAGCACTACATTTCAAGTGGCATTTTTGGAGACGAAACGTTTTACGAAAGTTGGGTCATGATGGAAAGCCTTTTCTCCTGCATTTCCATTTTTGCTTAAATTCCATAAATCTAGAACACTTCAATCTCCAACACACTGTGGTAAAGTAAGTGGTGATCGCAATCTGTGGTTATTCACGACAAGCTTTCCGTGATGTGGGAAATTATAGCCATAGGAGCAGAACACCTGATTCCCCTCACAGAATTAAAAACAAAAGAATAAAAATGGCGATCTATTAACTGAAGCAAATTCCTTTAAAACAGTTTCTTTGCCAATGAAACCTCAGCGTGCGTGCTTGTTTCTAATAACCTCTGTTTTTGTTCTTGACGGGTTTGTTTGTGTATCTTGGATATGACTGAATCGTTTCACAACGGCTTAATAATGATGTTTGAAAGGAAAGTCATGCTCCTTGAAATCCGATTATTGTTTTTGACGAGTGGCCTCCCACCAGAACACAAAATGGCTACATGGGTTAATATAATAGTTGGAACCTGTTGCTTGGATTAGCTGTATGACAAGGATCGCTTACCTGAAAAATAAGATATCTCATTACAAAATTTGTTTGGAGAATAAATTGTCATATTGAGTTTGTTTGTGTCGTAAAATTTGACTGGTCTTGGTGTGCCATAGCTGAGAGTGGGTTTGGTATGATGGGGTGGGGTGGGGTGGGGGGGGGGTGAGGGAGTTCCTTTTCTCAAGCTAGTTCCCTACTGTTTGAACCAATCACATTTTATCTGGTAATTTTGGCGTTGTCAAACGTGGGGGAGGGGGGGGGGGCGTTGCGCTGATTCCATCGCGTTCTAGCCAGTAACATGAGCTGACTGTTTGTATTTCGTGCAGTGGGAAAATGGTCTAAGAATAGACAACAAGAAGAAAAAGAGGTCTGATCATTTAGCATTACAGGGATTGAATATTACTCTACATACAGAGACAGAGCGTTAGACACAAACAAGTGCAAAAACAAAGAAAGAATAAAGCACTGAAACGCCAATACTTAGCGACAAAGCAGATTGATACAAATCTAACAGCTTCGACCTGCAATGAGCAGAATTTGAAATCAGTTTACGGCCATTTTTATATTGAGGGGGAGTTAGGGGGGTGAACCAAGACGTACCCAGTCCTTGGCGAAATTTTCAGTACGTGTGAAGGCGTGTGAAGGCGGGTTAATTTTAATTGCAGTTTATTGAAAGGATTGCCAGTATTTATGACACTGACGTCCGCTGATATTTCACATGGTGACCTCTTGAATGTACTAATATCTATTTCTATATGTAAGTGCCGTACGTGATCAGTTACGCCTCTTGAATGTACTAATATCTATATCTATATGTAAGTGCTATACGTGATCAGTTACGCTTCTCGAATGTAATAATATCTATTTCCATATGTAAGTGCTATACGTGATCAGTTACGCCTCTTGAATGTACTAATATCTATTTCTATATGTAAGTTTCGTACCTGATCAGCTACGCATCAAAAGAGTTTTTTTTTATCTTACATTAATTTTGCAGCTGAGCCAAGGCTATTAATGCATGATATGCGCCACTGGCATGATAAGCCTTTCTATGGCAACATTGCTAATGGATAAGTTCTGCATGTATGGGCATTCTTCTCAGCATTTAGTTATACATGTACATCGACTTATGTACATGTGCGTGCATATAGGGTGTATACATGAACGGTGACTCATGAGTTAATATACACTAATATGAACATTTTTTAAATCAGATAAATTTATTGTTTCGTTTTTTAATTCACTTTTTCATGCACAGTATAGATACTATGCGGGCACCCATCCTCGATGCAATGGTGTAATATTATAATAAATGTCCTTCACATTAATACGTTTACATTAACAGGACTGTTGAAATGAACATGAAATATTTCATGCGACTCGTACACTTTAATCCTTCCTGATAGGAGTTTGACCAGATCATCTCATCGTGATAATGAGCATCTTATGAACCTCTTTCGTCAGCAACCTAAATTATAGGAATATATTATTGCCTATAGTGTTTGCTACCATTATCGCCAATACAGTACTGTGGCACGCATGTCACGAACTGCAGTGGCTTTGCCGGTCCCCCCCCTTCCAATATGCATATGATGACGCTTTTCACACAATTTTTGCTTTGATCTGTAAATGATTAAGGCTTTAGAGACGTAAAGCGTTTGATGGAACGGTAATTCATGTACAATAAAGTAGGAGAAGTATCTATTTTCCCTAATTTTGTGAAAAATATTCAGTAATATACTAATAACATAGCGGTAGATATTTCCGTCTCTGCTAAACACTAATTAAATAGGGGAAATATGTTGTATTTCACTCACCATATAGATATAAAACAATCAATACAGGTAGATAAAATGAATCAGCGACACTGGTTGGAATATTCACCAGTACAGCCCTACCCTTTAACAGAGCTGTTACAGAATTGTATGAAAGACAAAAGCAATTTTGGACAGCTAGAAGGGCGCTGGTATAGACTACTAGACGGGTGACTAGTAGCTTGGACATAATAGCGTTATTATGTCCAAGCTAGTAGTATAGCTCTTTGCTGCAATATACATGTGTTGTGGACAAATAACTCACGTCTATAGCTTATAACAACCATCTTAGCCAGAAAGGTACGAAAAATATTAACCAGGATCGAACAGCAGTTGAATTCTAGATATATATTTGAAAACAACGACATTACCTTTCGTTAGCTGTGTCTTGTACTCACCGTAGCCTGTATAATCACCGAAGACCTCAGATGGGGTGCTCTTCAGGACAAAATGTGTCAACAGGCTCGGATCCGAGTCCCCCCGGGTCAGAGCTTTGAATTCGGTCACCTCTGTTACACTGTACCCAATCACTTCTCTCCGTTATGGTCCCGCTAGTGAGGTGAACGCGTGGTCCCTCAGTAGCATTTGAGTCATGAAGCAATCAATGGCAAGTTATTGATCGCTTTGACTCGTTTTCAAAGGCCGCTTTTAAATCTGGTTTTCCTTGCTTTTGTTAACGTTGGAGTCATTGTAATACAGTCAGACAGGCAACTGTCTTGGCTTCACATATTAGCAGTCCACCCGTCAATAGAAGTGCCCCATATGAACTGCGCAGTTAATGTACATTAAACCACCACTTGGATGAGTCCGCTGAAGGACGGAGTGTTTTGTAGAAATCCCAGCGGGTAGTTTCACCTTGACGCTACCATTCATGGCACACCTCAGAAGATTGAGTTCTGAAATCGAGGCTGTTTTATTGATTGCTATTTTTCTATTGAATAGTCCAGCATTGTCTGCATATTATGCGTCTGTTGACTAGCAGTGCGACTATTTAACGATTGTTGTTTTTAGGAATAGAAATGCAATAGAATGGGGGCTCAAATAAAACAATTTTGATTGTGAGTTAGCCTACCCGATGTGTTGTGTCGCATTTTTAGTTGACAGAAAATTTGTTGTACTGTGCGAGAAAAAGAAAGATTTTTAGACATTGGAGTCATATATATACAGTATATATACGTTTTCCTTTTCTTTTCATGCCATTTCTGTAACTTAAGCACGTTACTTTGAGTAAACTACAGAAAAGTTGGAGGTGTACGAGTCCGTTGAAAACAGCAGGAGGCGTGTTAAACTGTTAATCTGATTGCATTTAGCGAGAGTCCCCGCGGATTTGGATCGATCTACGTAGAACGATGGCTTCATTGGAAATTAACCCCATTACCTTCCACTTCTTTTAATTACTGTTATGAACGTCATATTGGCATAAGATGTTATTGGATCTTACATGTAAGTCGTGATGCTTTTGTTTTTACCGGGTGGTAATCGGGCTAGTAGTACATGCACGGCTTACGCCACTGAAGAACTGTAAACACGTACAATAGTGTAATTATCGAGGCAATATTAACACCTTCGAGGCAAGATATAGCAGTAGAACTTTTAAAAATTGACGTCACCTTTGTGGTAACTTTGACAATACAATCGTCATATAGGGTCTACTGGACAGGTCAATTTGACCCTGTGTAAATACGTATGTATGGTCAGTAGTCCACCATGACACAACACAAAGATATCACTTAATTGGAGCTTTTTGTTATACATGGCTTATATTATTTAGTTCTCTATCGCTATATCCTAACTGGTAGTTGTTAAGCTCAAATTTTCACGTCAGTTCAGGGCGGTGCATACCGTCAACACCCAGTCAAAATCATGGCCAAAAAATGACCAGGCGTCTAATGTTGTAAGGCACATTTGGAGTGCGGTGTGCAAAAACTGAACTCTTCTGTACTTTTCTTTTATTCTGTCTAGTTTTTTTATATTTTATTTTTAGCTTTATTTTATTATTTATTCCATTTGTGTATCTCCTTTTTAAAAATGTGATTACAATTATTATTGTGTTAGTGAAGTGGGGTGTCTATGTAATATGGCGGACAAAGATTGCAGCAGTTGAGACAGATGGAATGTGTTTTCTACACCGGTTCATCCAATGAAGTGAACTGTTGTACCAGCAACACAATCACTCAGCTTGTGACCAGAAATCTTGAAGCTGTTAGTTTATTTCATGAGTTCGCATACACTGCAAGCAATACATTTTATTTCTCGATTTCTTGTGTAAAAAATGAAATAAAAGTCTCTTGTAGACCTACATGAATTGTCTATGTTGTTTACGTCAAGATAAATTTTAGGCGGTATTCCGAGAAATATCCTTGTCTAAAAATATATTAATTCCAATCTTACTCACCTGATTCAAATTGCAGAGAACATTTGAGATCTTTAACGATTATATTCCTATCAACGCAAAATCATTTGGATAGATGCCAAAATGCATTGGTTGAAAATACCATTTCGATCAGTTTTTATATCCAGGCACTAAAATGTAACAATATACCCAGATTAAAGTAAAGCATGCGTATCAGATGCTCGCACAGAGAGAACTATTCCTGTAACATATGTACATAAAAGGATTGGAGTCTTTTGCAAAAATGATTTCTCGACAACATATACCAATTAAATATTGTTTTGCCTGCTTCTTATTTTGTGCACCATGGATTCATTCGCATGGCAATATCAAAACATTTCGCTACATGTTGCATCTAAAATTAGTAAAACAAAGTTTATCACAGTCCATCTTGTTTAGGGATGGGTCACAACCTTGTTTTCTGATTTGCTCACATCAGGGGGCGTGTCAGTAAATAAGGATTTTGATTGGTTGCCAAGGAGGTGTGGACGTTTACGTCTTCGAGCTATGTCTTAACAGCATCGTCTGGTATCCGCGCTTCTTTATCAACTAACAGCTGAACTATCCTATCGCCTAAGTAAAGATTTATTGCTCGTTTTGTTTGCCCTGATATGACCAAAGTCTGGCCATCCGCCAAGGGGACTAAGTAATCAGGATAATCAGCAAATGATGCTTGAAATTAAATACGTTTTTGATAACTACATATACATGACGTAAGCCTGTTTGTTATCTAAAGGTTACGTCACAACAAGACTATTGAAGTGACGTTCTGTCTGGACTGACTTCGGTGGCACACGTTCACCAACTAATAAACCATCTTGTGTGGTATAAGGATTTGGGTAGGCCTAATTATTTTTCTGTTGTAACTTCTATTAAAATTTCTTTTAGTAAATTAGTTACTAGTTCGCTTAAGCAATCCCAGTATCATGTTTGAAATCGTTTACACCCCTTGGGGACCAACAAGTTACATGTGTCATTACGGACGAAAGTATATCTTTAGTACATGTTTATGGTCAGTACATATGATAGTATGTTATTATATATATACATATATATCATATTACATATGAGACTGAAGAGCTGACACAGCTGTGTAAGATGGCTCTATAGCGTTAACAAATAATAAGACAAATAAATTAATAAAAAAGAAAAGAAGTGGGTAAATGGATCACGATCTGTAGTGGTTGACTGTCATCAATTGTTATGATACTGACTACTAGAAAGAAAAAAGACACCACGCACAGACGATAAGATAAAACAAAATCTTCATCATTTAAAAGTATTGCCTTGGGTACACTGTACACAGTTTTGACTCGATCGTTTTATTAGCATCTATATTGCGCTCAAAATAAATAATCAGACAAATAAAAATAAAAATGAAAGAACTGAAATAGAAAATGACTTATTTAACATTAAGAGTGTATTACTATCATATTATGTGGTAAAGCACTTTTGGTATCACACATGTATTTGCGTTTATTAGATTAAAACAAAGCATGCTGCACTATCTCCAGAAATTCTGTGTACCAAGTAACCGGTGAATGCTGGATAAAACCATGTTGTTACTAAACAAACAAACATCATGCTCCTTTGTACACGGCGGATTAAAACAATTTTGTCCCATGAGAATAAACATTTTGATCTGTATACTGCTATGCAATTACGTGATAACAATTATTCTAACATAAGACGTCAATTTAGAACCGCTGTGTGATCGGTAAGACAGTGCTATTTTTCTCGCCATTGCTGACTCTAGCATTACGTTCAACGGAGAGTTTCAATTACTAACAGTTTTTCTACAGAGTTAATGAGTACACACACACACACACACACACACACACAGAGAGAGAGAGAGAGAGAGAGAGAGAGAATAGAACATGGCACCTTGATGCAGTAAACCGTGACTCCCCACACACATTATTTCATCGTGCTCATCAACCAACCATGATGCCCAGTACATTCCTGGCCCTACTATTACATCATTCCAGAAGTAGGGTTAAGGGTGCTCTCTCTGAGACAGCACGTACATAAATTCTTACATAAACTTGGCAAGAAACGTGTTCTCCTATCTATAAGCTATCTAATTTCAGGCCTTCCTAACCGCCACGCTGTGTGCTCGCATACTAGTCATAGGTCAAGGAGATGACTATGTACACACGCCCTCTTGTTAACCAATCAATTGTGTTATCTAATCACACACCCCCAGGTGGGAGCCAATAGAAAACAAGGTGAGGGTTAAGCCCCCTGAGCATCCAGTGCATTGAATGCCAGGCTGTCTTGATCCGGGGGCCTGGGATCCGTTTTAAATAACGGATTCAGTTGAAACTTGTTTTAAACACTTTGTGATAGAAGTCGCATTGCAAGTTGTATAGCCTGTAACCGTATCTTTGACTGTTAATATAGTTTTTGGCACCTTAATTATAGAATATTCTGTAAGGTAATCGTCAATGTAAATAAATAAATAAATAAATAAATAAACAGAATATCACAGTGTTACATGACAGCTGCTCATGATTAACCTCATCGACACAACTGTTTTATTTTGAATTTTCTTCTTTCAGGGTAGGCTGTGTATTTCTAAGCCACTACGAGAGAGAGAGAGAGAGAGAGAGAGAGAGAGAGAGAGAGAGATCGAGAGAGGTCTTAACTGTTCTTTATTATCTACAGTTATGTGCTTTTGTTCTTGTTACTTTGCTGTAGGACTGTTTAATGCTGTTAGTTGCCGTGCCCTCCGTTTAACCATCTTGTCTTGTATAAGATTAAAAGAGTGCGCCGAGTTGGTGGAAAAGCAACCCTTAATTGTCTGTACGCCCGCTGTGTTTGCTGTGATTCACAATATACAAACACACGTAATCGTAGATAGCGCGCTGTTTCTTGGAGTGTTGTTAAAAAAGAGAAGAGAGAAAATCTGCAAAGACTTTTATAGCAACCAAAAACAGTATTTTTAAGAGGTTACATGTCTGTTTGTTAGTTACTAAGGAAACTCCAATACTGTAAATTCATTAGTATGTAGAAATTTATTCCTTATTATCAATTTTTCTTAGAATGTGAAAATGGAGAAGAGAGAAAATCTGCAAAGACATTTATAGCAACTAAGAACAGTATTTTATAAAGGTTACTTGTTTGTTTGTTTGTTTGTTACTAAGGAAACTCCAATACTGTTAATTCATTTGCATGTAGAAATTTAT